TAATAAATTATTGACAACACCTGTAATATATGAGAGAAATTGAGTGGATTCCCAATATTACAAACAGCTAGGAAGTCATACAAGTTTTAAATGATAGATAATTAATTAAACACTTGATGTTATATAACTCTAAGTAAATTTTATATTCAGTATCTTATAGCTAACTTTCCACATATACGGTACTACAGTACCATATCATTGAATAACTGTTATCACTGTTGGATACGTTAAATGTACGACAAAAGAGACTTAAGTTTGCAATTCATGGCACAGAATATACACGTTTTGCAATCGCTTTCCAGATTATTACAGCAAACGTTTTGTTGACTTTTTAAGAGTCTAAACATAAGTTAATATAAAAATTTTGTAACATGAGTGTATAAGAATTTATCTAGACATTAAATCATATTTTATCCGTATCCATTTTCTATGTGCAGTGTAATTAACCTGGGATAAGATACCAACCTAGGGTTGGGTAGGGTGTAGGGGAGTGCTAGCATTGGTACCCATTATTTGCTCGGATTATCAGTGAAACTACACTTGGATTCAACTTTTGTGTGACCATAAATGGAGGGGAAAGGCATTCCGGAAACTACACCCCATGTGCTGACCCGATACGAGTCGATAGACTCGCAACGCCTGACCACCGATGACAGCGCCGACAGCGACCTCCTGGAGTTGACACCCCTGGGCTCCGGGCAGGAGGTGGGCCGCAGCTGTATCTACCTGTGCTTCAAAGGCAAACGCATACTCTTGGACTGCGGTATCCATCCGGGTCTCCACGGTATGGACGCCCTGCCATTCGTGGACGTGGTAGACCCGGAACAGATAGACCTGCTGTTGATATCGCACTTCCATTTGGATCATTGCGGAGCACTTCCGTGGTTTCTGCAGAAGACCGCATTCAAGGGCCGGTGTTTTATGACACACGCCACCAAAGCTATCTACCGCTGGATTCTGGCCGACTATATCAAGGTCTCCAACATAGCCACGGATCAGATGCTCTACACGGAAGCAGATTTGGAGCAATCGATGGACAAAATCGAGACAATCGACTTCCACGAGGAGAAACAAGTCTCTGGTGTGAGGTTCTGGTGCTATAACGCGGGTCACGTGTTGGGCGCCGCCATGTTTATGATAGAGATAGCGGGGGTTAAGGTGTTATACACCGGAGACTTCTCCAGACAGGAGGACCGGCATCTCATGAGCGCTGAGATACCGGCCATTAGGCCCGATGTGCTCATCATTGAGTCCACTTATGGCACACATATTCACGAGAAACGGGAGGAACGGGAGGCGAGGTTCACTGGTATAGTGTACGACACGGTCAGCCGCGGAGGTCGGTGTCTGATCCCAGTGTTCGCGTTGGGTCGGGCGCAGGAACTCCTACTCATTCTCGACGAGTACTGGTCGCAACATCCGGAGCTGCACGACATACCCATCTACTACGCCTCCTCTCTGGCCAAGAAGTGTATGTCTGTCTACCAGACCTACATCTACGCCATGAACAACCGGATTAAGAAGCAGATTGCAGTCAGCAATCCGTTTGTCTTCAAACACATCTCGAACCTCAAGTCCATCGACCACTTCGATGATGTCGGCCCCTGTGTCATACTGGCCAGCCCTGGGGTCATGCAAAGCGGACTGTCCCGCGAGCTGTTCGAGTCGTGGTGTCCCGACTCCCGGAACTGTTGCATAATCGCCGGCTATTGTCCGGAGGGAACGCTGGCTAAGCAAGTGTTGGCCGAACCCGAGGAGATACAGGCGCTCTCGGGTCAGAGGATCGCCCGGAAGTGCCAAATAGAGTACATTTCCTTCTCGGCCCACACGGACTACCAGCAGACCAGTGAGTTTGTGCGGGCCCTCCGACCCCCACACATAATCCTAGTCCACGGGGAGGCCAATGAGATGAATAGATTGAAGGCCGCCCTCCAGCGCGAGTACGAGGACTCGGTTAGTCCGCCAGTCCTTCATAATCCTAGGAATACCGTTCCCGTGCGCCTACACTTCAGGGGCGAAAAGACCGCAAAAGTGATGGGAAGTCTAGCTATAGATCCCCCAAAAGCGGGCCATAAGTTGTCGGGAGTGTTGGTTAAGCGGAACTTTGCCTACCATTTGCTGGCGCCGACAGATTTGTCTAAATACACGGATATGGCGATGAGCACCATTAGCCAAAAGCTGTCCGTCCACTTCGGGGGCACTTTCGAGGACCTGTGTAACTGTTTATCGCATTTTGAGTGCGAGATTTCCGATGGGAAGGTTAGGTCCGTGCGAGTTATGCGCCAAATAGTTGTGGCGTTGAATACCGGTGCGAGACTCGTGACACTGGAGTGGGTGGCCAGTCCTGTGGCCGATATGTACGCCGACTCTATTATAGCTGTACTTCTCAAGAGTGAATCCAATGGATACGCCGGTAGACCCGTGGATGAGAAGCCGTTGAACTCAACCCTTTTGACGGACCTCTTGAGTGATATGTTTGCTGTGGAGGGGCTGACCACCGATGGAGAGACTGTTATGAAGTGTCGCATCGATGGCACGGATGTTGAGATCGATTTGTGTAGAAAACAACTCTTGAAATGTAGTGATGAGACCATTAGCTCAATGATCACTAAACTGCTCTCATGTCCAGCGTCTTAACCATCATAATAGTCATCAAGTTATGAGTATTTAAATGTATTTTTATAATGAATTTTATATTAAAATTTTTGTCTAATAAAAGTTAATTAAATTAAATTTTGTTTTTGCTTGATATATGGTAAATTGATTTTTGAATTAATGTAATAAAATCTAATTTTTTAGATTAATTCAAAGGTCTCTAAAAATGTCATTACATTTAAAGTGCTTTTTTAAGAAATGCATAAAAAGTTTTCGTTTTATTTGTTTTCTAACATTGAGAGAGAAATTAATTCTGATTTTTATTAGACATTACGAGAAAAAGTAATAAAACATTATATAAATTATTATTATTTTGTTTTAATAAAAATGTTTTGTGAGAAAATGGGAACAAATAAACGATTTGTTATATTTTTATAAGCTTTATAAATAGATATTATTTATTGAACTAGCGATTAGTTTTTTATTGAATAAATATTATCATCTTTATTTTTATTAATAGCGATAAAACATTTTATTATTTTGCAATATGCTATGTATGTAAACAGAAATCTACTGGTATTTTGAAATATAAATTGTTTTGAAAAACTATAAAAA